CCAGACCAGACCAACCCCGACCCGTCACTGACAGACGTTAACATCTTGATATAGAGACAAAAACCATCTCAAACCAGACCAGACTTGTCACTGACAGACATTAACATCTTGATATAGAGAGTTTCTCACAATTTTTTGTGGATAAGATCATTACTACTAGAGCTAATATCCCAATCTCTGCTTCGAATCCGGTCGTCTCACAATTTTTTGTGGATAAGATCATTACTACTAGAGCTAATACCCCAATCTCTGCTTCGAATCCGGTCGGGCTCCTAGCTCGGCCTGACTCTTGCACTTCTGCTCAGTTTTCGATGTTTGAGCCCGTTTTTCTGTCCGAGTTGTTAGTAGTTATTCAACATCTTAAGCCATCTTATTGTTTGCTTGATGTTATCCCACCTCGTTTATTAACTCAAATTTGGGATGTGGTGGGTTCTATGATCCTGTCCATAATATAGAGTCTTTTAAAAGGTGTAGTTCCATCATATTTTAAACATGCCTTGGTGCAGCCTCTTTTGAAAAAGCCCACTCTGGACCATTCAGTGTTAAATAACTACAGACCGATTTCAAAACTGCCTTTCTTGGCTAAGTTATTGGAGAAGGTGGTTCTTAATCAACTTTCTACATTTTTAAATGAAAACAACATTTTTGATAAATTTCAGTCTGGTTTCAGGTCTCAACACAGCACTGAAACTGCCCTTCTCAAAGTGTCAAATGATTTATTGCTGTCTGTAGATGCTGGGAATTGTGCTATTTTGGTGCTTCTGGACCTAAATAGACACTGTGGATCATGGGATTCTTCTTGAGCGTTTGCAGGAGTGGGGAGGGATTAAGGGGCTTGCTTTAAAGTGGTTCTCATCCTATCAACATGGAAGATCCTTTGCGGTGGAGCTAGGAAGCTCCATTTCATCTTCACACTTTATTTCCTCGGGGGTTCCCCAGGGCTCATGTCTTGGTCCTGTGTTGTTCTCTTCATATATGCTGCCTTTGGGTCTTATCTGTCAAAAATGTAATGTGGCTTATCATTGTTATGCTGATGACATCCAGCTGTATGTGCCCCTAAGATGTAACAATCACTCCAGTATTTCAACTTTGTTTGAGTGTTTGGATGAAATAAGGGCATGGATGGCGTCTAGTTTTCTGCAGCTCAATGAGTCTAAATTGGAAGTGGTGATTTTTGGCCCTCCAAAGTTAGCCAAACAGCTTTATGTACATCTAGGCCCCTTAGCCACTAATATTAACACTCAAGTAAGAAACCTTGTTGCAATCTTTGACTCGGAATTGAAATTTGATAGACAAGTTAGTCCTGTTGTATCAATTGCGAAGTATTGCTAAATTGAAGAGAATGCTGTCTTTTGAGGACATGGAAACCATGATTCATGCTTTTATTTCATCCAGATTGGATTATTGCAACTCATTATATTTAGGGTTGTCTAAGAATCTGCTCTCACGGCTGCAGCTAGTACAAAATGCTGCAGCTAGACTGTTGACTGGCACAAGGAAGTGGTCCAGCATTTCTCCAGTGCTGGCTTCGCTGCACTGGCTTCCTGTTGATTTTAGAGTCCAATATAAAGGTTTGATAATGGTTTTTAAAGGTTTGCATGGACATTTCATGTCTGTTACAGCAGCACTGTGTTGCTAGACCTCTAAGATCATCACAGAGTCTGCTTTTACACGTTCACAGATCACGGTTGAAAACCAAAGGTGATCGAGCCTTCTCTGTGGCAGCCCCACATCTTTGGAATAGTCTCCCATTGCACATTAGATCATGTGACTGTTTTAAATCAATGTTGAAAACACACCTTTACTCTGTGGCATACAGTTGCCCCTAGCTTTTGGGACACTGAGCAGTGATGGATATTTTGTGTATTGTGTTTATTTGAGTAATTTTTAGACATGTAAAGCACTTTGGTCAACTGGTGATGTTTAAATGTGCTATATAAATAAATGTTGATTGATGTTGATTAGAGACGAAAACTATCTCAAACCAGACCAGACCGACCCTGATCCGTCACGGACAGACTTTAACATCATGATATAGAGACAGAAACCATCTCAAACCAGACCAGACTCCTCACGGACAGACTTTAACATCATGATATAGAGACAGAAACCATCTCAAACCAGACCAGACTCCTCACGGACAGATGTTAACATCTTGATATAGAGATGAAAACCATTTCAAACCAGACCAGACCAACCCCGACCCGTCACTGACAGACTTTAACATCATGATATAGAGACAGAAACCATCTCAAACCAGACCAGACCAACCCCGACAGACATTAACATCTTGATATAGAGATGAAAACCATTTCAACCCAGACCAGACCAACCCCGACAGACATTAACATCTTGATATAGAGATGAAAACCATTTCAACCCAGACCAGACCAACCCCGACAGACATTAACATCTTGATATAGAGATGAAAACCATTTCAACCCAGACCAGACCAACCCCGACAGACATTAACATCTTGATATAGAGATGAAAACCATTTCAACCCAGACCAGACCAACCCCGACAGACATTAACATCTTGATATAGAGATGAAAACCATTTCAACCCAGACCAGACCAACCCCGACAGACATTAACATCTTGATATAGAGATGAAAACCATTTCAACCCAGACCAGACCAACCCCGACAGACATTAACATCTTGATATAGAGATGAAAACCATTTCAACCCAGACCAGACCAACCCCGACAGACATTAACATCTTGATATAGAGATGAAAACCATTTCAACCCAGACCAGACCAACCCCGACAGACATTAACATCTTGATATAGAGATGAAAACCATTTCAACCCAGACCAGACCAACCCCGACAGACATTAACATCTTGATATAGAGATGAAAACCATTTCAACCCAGACCAGACCAACCCCGACAGACATTAACATCTTGATATAGAGATGAAAACCATTTCAACCCAGACCAGACCAACCCCGACAGACATTAACATCTTGATATAGAGATGAAAACCATTTCAACCCAGACCAGACCAACCCCGACAGACATTAACATCTTGATATAGAGATGAAAACCATTTCAACCCAGACCAGACCAACCCCGACAGACATTAACATCTTGATATAGAGATGAAAACCATTTCAACCCAGACCAGACCAACCCCGACAGACATTAACATCTTGATATAGAGATGAAAACCATTTCAACCCAGACCAGACCAACCCCGACAGACATTAACATCTTGATATAGAGACAAAAACCAGCTCAAACCAGACCAGACTCGTCACTGACAGACGTTAACATCTTGATATAGAGACAAAAACCAGCTCAAACTAGACCAGACTCATCACTGACAGATGTTAACATCTTGATATAGCGACAAAAACCAGCTCAAACCAGACCAGACCGACCCTGACCTATCACTGACAGACATTAACATCATGATATAGAGACGAAAACCAGCTCAAACCAGACCAGACCGACCCTGACCTATCACTGACAGACATTAACATCATGATATAGAGACGAAAACCAGCTCAAACCAGACCAGACCGACCCTGACCTATCACTGACAGACATTAACATCATGATATAGAGACGAAAACCAGCTCAAACCAGACCAGACCAACACGTCACTGACAGACATTAACATCATGATACAGAGATGAAAACCATCTCAAACCAGACCAGACCGACCCTGACCCATCACTGACAGACATTAACATCTTGATATAGAGACAAAAACCATCTCAAACCAGACCAGACCGACCCCGAACCATCACTGACAGACTTTAACATCATGATACAGAGATGAAAACCATCCTAAACCAGACCAGACCAATCCTAGCTTGTCACTGACAGACGTTAATTAGATGATACATAAATGAAAACCATCTCAAACCAGACCAGACCAGACCAACCCCGAACTGTGACTGCAGGACTCTGGTCTGGTCTGAACAGGACTGGAACCCATTTAAAGATAGTTTCCTCCAAACTCTAGTCGTGTCTGATTTGAGGTTCAATCCTCTGAACTCAAACAACCCTTCACCACTTCCTCGTGCCTGCATGGGTTAACCAGTTCAGCTGGTTCTGGTCAGTCCTGAGTGCACAGCTCCAGTCAACTACACACAGACACATCTAATATTAGAGATAATAATTCACATCTGCCATCGTGCTTCGGTGACAGATGGGAATAGAATTACTATCAGATTCATTGCCTCTGGCATTCAACCAGCGCTGTCAGGTACCGTGGTATTACTCTGGTATTCTGCCATCATCGCACAGCAGTACCTCGGCGGACTGACCGAGGCCAGATGTTAATGTTTAACACCGAATATGAAATAATCGCGAGCGGTGTCTGATGCGGATCGCCGCGGCACTGCTCACTCACCTGCACCGTCAAGCGCGCGCGATCATCGGTTAAAAACGCGTCGAGCAGCCGTCGGGTTCGAGCTCTCGTGTGGCGATGCGATGCGAGCGGCGCGTGCGACCGGATCACTCACATGCCGCGCCGCAGGTTTCCGCACGGAGCGCTTAAGCGACGCACGCGGGCTGACGTCACCGGCGTCCATCATCAATAGAATTATTCGAAGGGCTTCAATTCTATAGACTTGACAGAAGAAAACGGATGCATGCTGATAATTACCGACACACGACACAAAAAGCAACAGATACGTTAATAAATAATTCAATTTAAATTAAATTAAATTAAACAGTAGCGTTTTTTGATATAAATTAAATATAAAAATGTAAATATAACTAATAATAAGGCATATATCAACCAATAACCATTTTTCTTACCACACACACAAAATTAGTCATTATAATTAACTGATAATACAAATGAATAATAATCAAACATTTGTCACTACTCCAATCATAAAGTGAATAACTTAAAAAAAAAATAAACATTAAATAAAGAAACATTTTGTCTGAAATTATAACTGAACTAATTATAATTAATAGTACAAAATAAAATTGTGGCTAACGAATTACTTGTATTTAAACTAATTATTGTTAAAAATGAATATTAATCAACCATTCTTGTTACAACACAAATTGAGTAATTATAATTGATATATCAATAACCATATGTGTCTCTTCTACTCAAATTGTAAAATGAGTAACTAACTAATAATTATTTATAGTAACGTTATTTTTATTCAATAACCATTTTTGTGAGCACTTCATAAAATTAATAACTTTAAATAGCAATAATGAATATTAATAAATATCCATTTGTCACCATGCAGATTACAAAAAGTCTAACTAATTATTATTAAAAGTAACGATGAATATTAAGCAGTAACCATTTCATTACACAAATGACTGAGTGACTAATTATTAACAGCAATAATTATTAAACGATAACCTTTTTTGTTACTAAACAAAATACAGAACACACACACACACACACGAATACGGCTTCCTTGACACAGTGTGTGTCAGTCGGGTTGGACGAGTCTCTGTCTGTCTTGCAATACTTCTGAAGCAACTTGGAATACATTACACCTGCTGAATACAGTACAGTGAAATCCTGTAACTACAGAGTGATGAGGAAGAAACTAAATCAAACCTGCTTTAAAACCCAGCAACACAACTGTAGCTGTACAACTTTACAACAGCAACACTGCTTTAACAAAAAAGCAAAACAGCAAGACTTATTTGACATCAAAACAAACATTTAAAAAATGCTGTCTAATCGCTCTCGCTGTATTTTTTAGTCACACACAGAAGGGTCTGCAGTGCTGCTTCAAGTCCAACACCTATTGTGTTTTATTAGGAGACCACCAACAGTTCTTCTGTGGCTTTATAGGTAATATTTTCACTTACACAATTTAGGCAAGGCAAGTTTATTTATATAGCACATTTCGTACACAATGGTAATTCAAAGTGCTTTACATAAAAGAAAGTAAAATAATCATTTAAAAAAGAATCACAAAAATAAAACAAGGAATTTAAAAACTTTGAAGATGATTTAAAAATTGATTTAAAATGAATTTAAGACAGTTAAAAATAGAAAAGGATAATAAATACATAAAATACAGCGCAATCAGTTCGGACATCGCACAGTGCTCATTCAATAAATGCACAGCTAAACAGATGAGTTTTGATTCTATAACTAAAAGCACATTCCCCTTGTTTTGTGTGAACCCTTGGTATTTCTAACTGACTCGATCCTAATGATCTGAGTGGTCTGTTAGGTTTATATTCAGTGAGCATATCTGCTATATATTTAGGTCCTAGGCCATTGAGTGATTTATAAACGAGTAAAAGTACTTTAAAATCAATCCTAAATGTAACTGGAAGCCAGTGTAAGGACCTGAGGACTGGTGTAATATGCTCAGATTTTCTGATTAAGTTCCTCAATATCTTTGTTGGGTATCCCAGGTCTGTGCACAATGCCAGGGTGCTGAAGAACAGCCCTGTTTACACTGGATGCCTCTATCCACCTGCAGGAAAATTAGACTCTGCAAATCAGTTAAAGGAACACTCCACTATTTTTGAAAATATGCTCATTTTCCAACTCCCCTAGA